AACTTCGCCCACATTCCCCCGCTGAAGCAAATCCCCATGGTCGCAGCAAAGAATATTCGCTCGTGTCTGCCGGCGCGGTTCCACGGGCGGGATGCTGACCTGATGGCCGCCGAAGCCATCTTCGACGTGTTGAAGAACACGGCGCCCCCCTCCGTGAATGACATCGACTTGGAGGACTGAATAAAAAAATTAATGTTAATTCAACCTAAAAAACTACCGGGTTTCTTTCTGTTGCAAGTTGTGGCCAATCAGGCAATTGCAGTCAGGACTCGTCGGCGGGGGCATTCTATGTTCGTTTCCAGCCATAGCTCATATTGTCGACACCGTTGGCTATTATTGCACGTTGCAGCTTACTCGAGTGAGGAGACTTTCGCTCCTAGTTTGTGTTTGTCGGCAGTGGTTGGGTGGCACCCGTTGAACAAGTGCGTGAGCGTACGATGTGTTGGTGTTTCGTTATTGGTTCTCGTGACCACGTGTCCTTGCAGCACCTCATGTGGCAAACCTGTGAGCAAGCCAAGAAACAAGACGGATGGAATAATAATCATTGGCAGTGACTGCAGGATGTTGCCAAAAGCGCATTTTTGATCATATGAAGCAGCAGCGTTGTCAACGTACCCGGTATTACATGCGAGCTTGTTTGTTTTCTGCCGCTCTGCAGTCACGTGACACGGTGGCGAAGAACCGGATGTAGAGAGAACGGGGGGAGGTATTCAACTTGGGGTATCTTGCGTGTGAAGGACATGTTCGCGTACCCTCTATATCCTGTTCTGTGGCACTTGCGATACCCTAGAGAACGTTACAGACGAGTTCTGTGGCACTTCCGATACCTTACCGGATAGTTCAAGGCTGAAAACCTGTGCTCCGCCTCGACTGTCTTTTTTGGTAGCTGGTACCCTAGACGCTCGGTTTAAGTGCGAGGGACCTTCCGCTTGGAAGCCGTCTGGGTCCCCCTCCCTCACCGGGCCCGACTATCTAGCTGACGTGCTTTTTCGGGATCCACCGCTTGCCGCGCGGCCTGCACAAGGTTAAGAAGCCGCTGCGGGTCTTCTTTTGTTCTAATTCTGTGGAAAGCCGGCATCACTGCCTCCATATTTTCCGTGTCCGCTGCGCGTTATTTTATCCAAATCATTTGGAAACCCGGATGTGAATATTTCTTCCTTCTGGGGTTTTGCAGAGAGAGGTAGCCGTCATCGTTGAGGTAGGAAACCTCGGGGGTGGCCCTTGCACTTTCCCCAGGAGACATTGAAGGAACCTCTTGACCCCTCACTCCAAGGAAACCGATTGGAATGGCGCTGCAGCTCTCCTTTATCTTATTGCCGAATAACAGCATCACCTGGGTGTAACTTGTACCCCAACACCGATCCTTCCCTTTTTTTTCGTCCCAGGAGAAGAAGTCAGATGCTGAGCTGCAGGCGGATGTGGTGGATTTCCTCAAGAGGCGTTTGCAGCTGGGGAAAGGGCCGGTAAGGGGGCCTGGCTTGTTTCCCATCACCCTAAGAAACGTTCATATCGCTGCTTTCGTCTCAATGGTGCGACCTGTTCAGTTTCATCGTGTAGGTGCCACTCTCACGGAGGTCTCGCCAGCCCTCTCCCTAACCCTAACCCCAAACGCAAACCTTTTGCATGTGCTGAAGGCCACCATCACGGAGATCTCCGACGGGACCGACGTGGATCTCCGAAAAGGTCGCGACGAACATGTGCTCGAGATGCTCATGGCTAATCCCAAGGTACGCTTGCTGCGGCATGCTACTTGCCCCCCGTTGATGTGAGGGTCATTGCTGCTGCTGGCCTGTTTTTCGGTAGATGGGTATTTGCCCTTGCTCTGTTGTTGCAAATGTGCCCCTTGTGGCTGCGGTGCAGCTGCTTCATATTTGGCCGGGGCGTTTCAAGGCGGTGATATTGCGACCGCCCGGAGGTTGTTTCGCCACCTCCGTTCATTGTCTGTTATTGTTTTGCCACCATCTCAAGGTAGTGGGGTATTGATGCCCCCGGTAGCGGCGGTGAAGGGCGGTGAACCTAACCGATAAATGACCCTTGCCTGAACTGGTTTAGCGTCTTTTGCAAATGAAGAATGTAGACCACCGCACCCCGAACATTGAGCTCAAGACTCATGTTGCAATATCTGTCCCCGTTTCAGGCGAAGACGTTTCAACGGCGGCAAGCCTCACTCCCATAGTCGTCGGCCCTGTAACTAGCAACGCTGGCTCCCCGGACGTAGTTGTTGGAAGAGAGTGACTGACGATCCCCAGCCCCCGCTCCAACGTTGAACGCTTTTTCAGGTGGAGGCGTTGCACGACCAAGACCCTCTGCAGGAAACAGCCTTCACCTACATGGCCAAGTACGCCGTCACGAACAAGAGCGAACTGCTCCAGTTGGTGCGTACCACTTTTTTCTTTCCCTTGTCGCTAACCGCGTTAGTACCGCATGGAACATAAGACGACAACCTCTCCCCCCCCCCCCCCCCCTCCC